CTGAGCTCTGCCTGGATCCTTCCCTTCTCCAGGGGAACATTCCCGGGGCTCTGAGCTCTGCCTGGATCCTTCCCTTCTCCAGGGGAACATTCCCACCTCTCCCAGGCTGGCTCCAGCCCTGGGAGCATCTCCTTGACCTCCTCTGGACTTGCTCCAACCACTTCTATTCCCATCAAGATATTTTCTGTGCTTGGAGGTGAAAAGTGGAGCTGAGTGAGGGCTCCCCTGCATTTCCAGCTGATTCCTAAGAATCTCCTCATTCATTCAGATCTCTGGGAAAACAATGGAAAATATCCTCCACTCCAGACATTTTTTCACCCTGCTGTTGAGTCAGAAGCTGGCTCCCAGCAGCAGCACATGTGAAAAGGGTGCTTTTGTTTCTTCTGAGGAGCTCCAGGCCCTAAGATGCCACAAATATGTTCCAGTTCCTCTCCACGAAAACATTGAATGGGTCTCTACAACATTGCATTCTTTGGCTACTGGCGTTAAGTTCTCAGCCACAGAATGCATTAAAGGGATCTTTTTGTTTGGCAAGAAATCCTCGAGGCATTTCAGGTATTTAAATTTAAATTGAAAGTGTTTTAAGCAAATGCTTGGGGATTTTAGCTGTCTGTAGTGTGTTTTATTTATTTTTAGAACTTAACGCTGAGAGCCCTTGAGATGGGACTGAGTAAATTTGTCTGACTTCAAAAGGGAAGCAGAGAACACCCTTGGAAAACTCATCCAATGCATAATTGGATTACAAGTGCTGGTAGAGCACTTAAACCTGACTGTGCAGTCCATCTGCATGTGATTTGGGGCTTCAGATGAAGAACCAGTAATCACATTGTGGAGAACACAATTCAGTTTTACCCTCTGCATTTAAAATTATCCTCTCAACATCCTGCCCTCGGGTGTAGCTCAGTTTCTACCAGGCCAATTCCACCCAGGTCACTGAGCGAGGCTTTGTGGAATAAGAGCAGCCCAGGAGTGATCATTTTCTGACTCGTTTTCCCTCTGCTGCAGGTTTCCACGTGTGTGCTGCTGGCTGGATGGCCAAGGGCAGAGTTGGGTATCCCATTGTAAAAGCTGGAGCCAACTGTGGCTTTGGCAAGACTGGGATTGTCGATTATGGAATTCGCCTCAACAGGAGCGAGAGGTGGGACGCCTACTGCTACAACCCCAACGGTGAGGAGCAGCCACAGGGCTGTCCTTCTGTCCCCTCCTGTCCCCTCCTGTCCCCTTCTTTCATCTCCCGTCCCCTCCTGTCCTCTCCTGTCCTCTCCTGTCCCCTCCTGTCCTCTCCTGTCCCCTTCTGTCCTCTCCTGTCCCCTCCTGTTCTCTCCTGTCCCCTTCTGTCCTCTCCTGTCCTCTCCTGTCCCCTTCTGTCCCCTCCTGTCCTCTCCTGTCCCCTTCTGTCCCCTCCTGTCCTCTCCTGTCCCCTTCTGTCCTCTCCTGTCCTCTCCTGTCCCCTTCTTTCATCTCCTGTCCCCTCCTGTCCTCTCCTGTCCTCTCCTGTCCCCTCCTGTTCTCTCCTGTTCCCTTCTGTCCTCTCCTGTCCCCTTCTGCATTTAACCCACAATTTATCTGAATAATCCGAGGGCTTTCTGCCCATAATCTGAGGTATTCTGCCTGAAACAGGGTAAATTTTGGGTAAAACCTTCTTTTCTTTCTTGGTCTGAGATACAACAGCTCTGAAAATGAACGCCCTGCCTGGGACTGGCATTCTTTGGAGGAACTGGGAGGAATTCCTAGGGAGGAATTGTTCCCTGGCAGGGTGGGCAGGCCTGACACAGGTGCCCAGAGCAGCTGGGGCTGCCCCTGGATCCCTGGCAGTGCCAAGCCAGGCTGGATGGGGCTTGGAGCACCTGGGGCAGTGGGAGGTGTCCCTGCCATGGCAGGGATGAGTTTTAATGTCCTTTTCCATCCAGACCATCCAGTGATATTGTAAATGTAGGTGAACCTAATGGGAAGAAATGATGATATCTGACTTAGTTCAGAAGGCTGAATTATTTTTTTATTATAACTATGTTAAACTACATACTACTTTCTCTGACTCTATCTCTCACACAACCCGTGATTTTCTCGCAGGAGTTTAGATATAATTAAATTAGATCAGCTATTAGACTCAAGCAATCCTCACTAAAATTCAATCAAGCACTCGCTCCAGGTAAACAATTCCCTAAACCCATTCTACATAAGAAAAACAAGGAGCAGAAATAGAAATTGTTTTCTCTTTTATTTCTCTCTGTGCACATCTATAAAAAAACTTGAGAGGGAGAGAAATGTGCTTGCCAGGCTGTAACTGTGTGATTGTCTGCGAGAAGCTCCCAGCAGAGCTCTGGGTGTCATTAGAGGAGAAGTGGCTCTCCAGAGCAGCTCAGAGCCCCAGCACAGACATCATCCCCATCCCCTGCTCTGGAGCTGACCACAGCACCCACTGGTGTGGGACTCAGATTCAGTCAAAGGAAGAAATGAGAGTTTCCAGCCAGGCAAAA